TTATTTATCCAGCTCTCACTCTGTGTTGTAGCAAGCTTACTTAACAAGAGAGACCTAGGTACAGAGTCAAATGCAGATGTGTAATCAAGGAAGGCACACCGAACATATTTGGCTCCTCTATCTAAACTAGAGACTATATTATGATATAGAACTACAGCGGCATCTAGGGTACACCTACTATGTTTATAGGCAAACTGGTTGGGGTCGTTAAAAGGCTTTAAAGAGGGTTCAAGATTAAGTAAAATAAGTCTTTCCATAACTTTTAAAAAAGGTGAGGTAATAGCAATGGGTCTAAACTTGACAGTAGGTCCACTTGTTGATTTGGGTACTGGAACAACCTTGATATTTTTCCATGAGTCAGGAATAAAACTTTTGGAAAAAGATTCATTGAAAATGTCAGTTAATGGGTAACATAAGATGTCAGCACACTTCTTAAGGATAACAGCAGGAACTCCATCAGGAAGTATTTCAAACCCTAGGTGGCCATTTCGCTCTTCTGAAGCTGAACTCATTAGCTCAGAGGGTTGAATCAGTTCAAAATACCCGAATTCCAGCTAGCCACTGGGCGAACCGGTAGTAGTTGTCAATGGTATGCAACTAGCCATGTCAATCAATCAAAAGAATATTTCAACATGCAGTTATGCTTGCTTTCTCGATTGCCATCTATGGTATCTAGTAGACCACACATTGTCATCCAAAGAAAACTGTGAAATTTCACTAAATGTGTAAATTGCTAATTGTGAATTTGATCTAGAAATTCATTATGCCTAAAAAAGATATAATCAGCACCAACGTTTGGGGTTGGAGTGTTAATAATTGTATTTTTCATAAACTTCAGTTTACCTCCACTTAAAAATTCAATACTCTGGTGTGTGAAACACTTATCTGTATGCCCTGTCTGTTTATCTTTATGAATTTTTAAGTTCAGAAAAGTAGCAGAACATCAGAATAACCTGAAAATGTTTCTCACATCGTATTTCTATTCATTTTTAAAGTGTTTCTTAAAACATTTGCAAGGATACTTGAGGAGATTAGATGCTAACCATCAACTTATTTCTCTACTATAAAACCATTTTCAACTTATGCGATAATTATGGTCCCCGTAATTAGTAAGAATAACAGCTCACAGTCACTGCATTATGATATCAGTCAAACCAGATCAGCATATTAAATTTTACCAACATTAAGTTATCATAATGACAAATGAGACAGGAATACGATACCCTAACTGTTTGATCTATATCCATGAGTTATCCATAAACTTAAACAGGTAGAGTCTGATGACAGATGCTCGTCATCGATGACATCCGCCAGTCGTCACACTACATCGTCAATTGGTAGAAGTCAGAATTCATGGACAGGCCACTGGATCGGGTCCCAGTGGCTTAATGGTTTACGAGCTCGCCTTGTAACCGGAAGGTCCTGGGTACGAATCCCGGTAGGTTTGTGTTGCTGAAGAGTCCCAAACCAGGACGAAACAGCTGTTCAGTACTCCCAGGTTTTCCAATGGTCCTCTAACCGATCAAATCCAGTAACCAAACAAATCAGACCATGAAAACAAAACATGAAGTTCTGTCATCTCTTGAATAATATTTGCAACCATACAATTTAGCGAGTAGTCAATATACCTCAAACTGACAGTGTATCGCTCGTAAACATATTAAGTGAGTACCTGATCTAGCCTCCTTTTTATTGGGTACTAAATAAAGTCTACAGAAATTTAAAGTCTTGTAGGTAAGTTTATGAGTGCCGCCACACCACTTCCAATTACTCAGAATCACTTCAACCCTCTTTTTGTTTTATGCCCCATGTCTACAGATAATATTAATGTGACTTTGAAACTGTAAGCATATTTGGTTGCAATGGTGGCCAAATATAACGGATGTGTCACATGTGTACACCTTTTCAAAGAACGGCCTTCCAAAAAATCTTTGCTCCAGCCTACGGATATACGCACTCAAAAGTCATGCAAAAGAATTTTTCTTAACTTTACGCAAGTATTAATCCTATTTTGTAAAACTATCTTCTAAAATGCGTAAAGACATACTATATTAGTTGCCTGTGACAAAAACGCATTAATATTTATGAAACCACGTCACACGGTGATGCAATCTGGGAAATAAGTTATTCTCACCCAGCCAGACAAAATATACGAGCGTGCAAGTGATTACGCCACTGCGTAAGGTAACGAATTTAATGATCATGAAATTATTTATTGATACACAATTAGTCGATTGAAGAGAGAAAGAACGAACATGTTTGCAGGATAATATGAGCTCGTTTTATTTCGTGGATTCTCATCAACTGCATACATCCTAAACAAAATCAAATTATAGGTTTCAAGAAGGTTGTGGAACATACTTTTTCATAAATACTTTGAGTTATAGATAGAAGGCATAAGGAACATAATTCCAGAATTTGATGTAGGTAGACAGATTATTCGGTGTCAAAAAACAACTAAATATATATAGTGGAATTGGATAAGAGGGGTAAGAGTTCAGATTTCTATTGGAAAACAACACAGATTGGTTAGAGGCATATTACAGGGTCAGGGTCAGAGAACAAAGTAAATTTACACATCTTGTGGTGGAGAGTTTGAGAGGGTGGGGGTGAATAGTGAAGTAACATTTATAACTTAAACACACAAACAATTAAGTAGATTTAGAAACTTGAAGGTCAAAATTGAATAGAATGTTACGTAACAAGACAAACACACAGGCATACTGACAGAAAGGCAAAACTAAAATAAAATAGAGTTAGGGTTACCAAGGTAGTGAAAGATTAATCACACTATCTTTCTGTATACAGAGGTCTGGTCGAAATCTCTTGATAGCAATGGCTTCTGCGAAGCGAAGTAGCCGTGGGTTTCTTTGTGTATTGATTATTTTGAAGGCTTGGCTGATTTCTACTGTGTGTCCTGTGTCAATTAGATGTCTGGCGATTGCACTTGATAACACTTTTCTTCCTTTTGTGCGGAGGCTCTTAGGAATGTGCTCAGAACATCTATTAGATGCTGTCCTCTCAGTCCTTCCTATGTACTTGCTACCGCAGGTGCACGTGAATTGGTAAATGCAGTTGGAGTTGACGTGAGTAGGGAACTCATCTACTTTTGACTGGGTTAACGAGCACACAGTGTTGTGAAGTAGGATCAGTCTGGCGGCTGGGAACGTTCTTTTCAATGCACCTGTGATTCTTTTTTGTGTTCTTGTGGATACGTCTTCCCCTTTGTACGCTAGACAGATGAAAACTGGTTTCTTTTCAACGGTGTCGGGTTTCGGTTTGTGTACTTCTTCATTTCTATATTTTAATATGAACTTTCAAGGATATCCATTCTCGATAAGGTTCTTTTCGATGATCTCAAGTTCTTCTTCAATCTTGTCTTCTGAACATATTTCTTTGGCTCTGCTGAAGAGCGTTTTTACTAGACATCATTTGTAACTGGTTGGGCAAAAGCTATGATAATGTAGGTATTGACCAGTCCAAGTTTCTTTCCTGTAGACAGATTTTTGAATTGTCCCATCGGTTCTTCTTTTTATGTTGACATCTAGGAAATGGAACTGGTTGTTTCTTTCGTAGTCAATTGTGAATGCGATGTTGGGATGGGCCGCGTTGAGTCGAATTCAGAGAAAGTAATCGTAAGTCATTCTCAGAGTTATAGGCACCTACATATTATGAATGTAAATAATAGCAAAATCAATACTGAACTATCTCTAATTCATTATCTGTTTTTCTCACTGACTAAGTCGAAAGTCTCATGCTACACGATTGCAATATTATGAATATTATTAAGCGCCTTTCTGAGAATCTTCATACATTTATTCCCCTTAGTAAATTTGAATACGGCAAGAACAACAGTGTGTGCGTAATAAAGTGGTACCATCATTCATTTCTTTAGCTTCTCATCAACTGCTCACAACCCAAAGACATTATTAAATTCATGTACATAAACAATTTCAGCTAACTTACACAAAGACTCCATTTTTAAACAAAAATCAATATATGCATACAATGGTAATAACAACACTGACTTTATCCTAAACAATAAGAAACAAGCAGAATGGAATTCTTCGCGTTACGTAATGAAATGAAAGAGAGGATTAAAACATCCAGCTATCAGGCCAAGGAAAGACTGACAACTGCTTATTTCTGGCACATAAATCGGGTTTCAGGAGGTCTTTTCGAGAATCAAAAAGATATTGGAAAACAACGGTTACCCTCAGAGGTTCATTAACAATTGTGGATGATGTGAAGTATGCGGGGAAGAAGTGCTTTCAACAGTGCCATTGCTAGGCACCTGTTTGACACCGGTCACGAGGTGGACATTGCGAGATCGTTCGAGATTTTCAACGGTCAAATGAGTTCAATTCTCCTCAGGTTTGCCAAAGCTATCTCCACCAAGCAGCTGAAACCCTATTTATATGTCAGAAAGAAGCAGTTATCAGTCTTTCCTTGGTCTGATAGCTGGATGTTTTATTCCTCTCTTTCATTTCACTACGTAACGCGAGAAATTCCATTCTGTATGTTTATTATTGTTTAGGATAAAGTGAGTGTTGTTATAACCATTGTATGCATATATTGATTTTGTTTAGAGACTCTTTGTGTAAGTATGTTAAAATTGAGCTTAATAATGTGTTTAGGTTGTGAGCAGTTGATGAGAAGCTAAAGAAATGAATGGTGGTACCACTTTATTCCGCACACACTGTTTTTTTTTGCTGTATTCTAATTTCTGAGAATACTTTTGAGTTAAATAATAGTTTCTTATCAGCTAATTAAAACTGAAAATGAAATAGTGTTTCTGCTACTCATTCACTTGACCTGTACTAATTACTTGTAAACTGAGACTGATATTTTCTGTTCATGTTAACAGACTGTAAAATATTGATTGTGAATTTTTTTGTGATCTGATGATTATTTCAGTCTGGTCACTATAATGACCTGATAACTGATTCACATATATATACATATATAAACTAACCAAGGTTTCTATAAGCTTCGTTGGTCTTCTTGTAATGCGTGGAATAAAACGGTCAGATATACTGGTAGTTAGATGTTATATGGAGGATGAAATGAAAAGATATGCAGTTGAATTGCTTAAATCCGCAATGAATGAATTCGACGGTGAACGAGAAGTGGCATGCTTTATTAAGAATAAATTTGATTCTCGTTATCGTACCTACTGGCATTGTATTGTTGGCAAACATTTTGAATGGTAAGATTTTGAATTATAGAAGTTTCTAGAAATAATATAAATTTATAGTTCTATAGAATTCGAACCAACTCGGTTTATTTACTTAAAAGCAAAAGACTTGTCAGTTGTCCTCTACAGATACAGCTGAAAATACAAGTTTTATGAAAAACAAGTTGAGCGGATATCTGAAACAATTGTCTTTCATTTTCATCTTTTGACACACTTCACTTTAAATTATTTGTTTTAATTTAGTTTAACTGCCCTAATTTAAGAATTAGCGAACAATATTTTGGGATGAAACAAGCCAAAGACTCAAATTCCCTAAATTCCAAATAAATATACTCGTATCAACATACAGAAACTGGGAAAAAAGACAAGACGCAGCATGCTACATTTTGTTCCTGCATATAATGCAATCTACAACTTATTATACAAGAGGAATAATAAATTTTTTCTTTGTTAAGGAAATGCATTTGTGGAGTTTTCATCAAACATGTGAACTTTTGATCACTCTGTATGATAGCTATATCAACTATTGCATAAAACAGGGAATTAAGTAAGACATAAATTGTCAATGAGACTTTCTGAGATAATCTTGGGGTGGTGGACTGTTACTGATTCAGTAGATGATGACTAGAAGTGAAACGACGTTCAAGACTGGAGACTTAAGTACAAACCAGGTAATCATTTCATTTCAATTGCTACTTCCCCTAAAATGACGCTGATATGAAATAATATCATTGCAGCATCATAAAAATTCAGTAAGCTGTTTGAAAAAACGCACAGAGAAGAAATGAATTTCATCCAGGATCACGACAGCAAGGTTCAACTTAAAGAGAGTTGCATTTATGTAATCTTGTACTTCTATGAACAGTGCAAACCAAGAGAAGGAGGACGTCAACAGATAACTGCAAGCAGTAGTGTAAAAGACCCCAGTCTGATGGTGATATCAAAATTCTAATGGTGAGCAGTGTACTGATGAATGAAGTTCAGGTAAAAGGATTTTGCACTGTTGTGTGCCCTGATATGAATTATATTTATACAACAAGTGGAAAATCAAAATAAATACGCAGTAATATCGTGCAACTTATATGTTGACAGGCTGGAGTTGCAAGCTCAGGGGGTGTGCCTTATAAGAGAACAATGAGAGAGCGAGCCACGTGCAAGCAGGAAAAAGAAGATGGCATAGCGCCATACTACATGTATGCGTTTAAACAAAAGTTTATACATTCAAGGTGCACTACACTACGACAGCCGAATGGCTGGACGAACTACGCAGAAGTTTACCGAAGACCAGGAACCTTTACCTAACAATCAAGAAGGGAGCAAAAGGAAATCAAATTGGTTTACACTAGCTCGTAAAAACGATACTGGATATGAATGCTGAACTTGGAGCAAGCAACACAGGAAGAGAATTCTTCATGTTTCGAAAAGTGCTAAGCGAAACAAGTGATAACACAAAACCATTTGCAGATTTCTGTGTCTCCAATAATTCCATGATTGGAAGAAACGTTTACAAGCACAAAGATAACCGTAAGCCATCACAATTTTCTCCAGATGGAAATACCAGTAATTAGATCGACCTCATTTCAATCTCAATAATGAGAAGACGCAGGTTGCTTGACACATAATTAAGAAGAGGAGTACAAAAAGTCCCGGAACACGAAGAGTCCTTGAACTGAATAAAGATCATGTCGAAAGTCTCTAGATAAGGTGTAAATGCACTTCAATCCAAGTCCAGCACTCAGAAACTGAAGAAGGAACTACAAGGGACACCTTAAATTAAGTCAAAAAGATAAAGTCAGAAACACTAGGAAATACCACCAAGGGGACATGTGTAGAAAAATTCTGGAACTTTATGAAAGCGACGTACAAAGATATCCATTCAAAAATTCCAGGAATAAAGAAGAAGCAGACCAATGAATGGTTTACCAGGAACTCCTAAAAGCTGATAGAAGAGAGGAGGAAGATGTAACGTAAGCTAAGCCAGTATAACCCAATGAAAAAAGTAGTGTAAAAGACTTTTAGGAGAAAAAAATATCCCTCTCACGACTTACAGGCAACTAAAGCATAGTAGCCTCTATGTAAGACAGACCTCAGAACACTGTATCAAATAACCAGGTCGGTGTGAGGGAAGGAAAAGGCTAATAAAATGTAGTGGAGGCGACCTGATAACCAAGGAGATGGGTCACTTCAAAAGACCCTTGAGTTAACCATCACCTACGATTCATTCAGAAATACGAGCATACAACGAAAGAAAAAGACGCGAAGCACCTAAAGTTATTAAAAAGTCAGTAATGCATTGGAACCCAACTTACCTTCGCCTTCATCTAATCAAGTTGAATCGGCCGACTGGTTTCCCGATAGCTTTCACCAACCGATGTTATCTATGTATATTGACTTCCTTGGAGAAAAGGCTTTTTCAGTGCCTCGCTGTCTCACGAGCTATGCTTACACGTCCAACCCTCTCTCATTTCGGGCTTAAAACCGGTTACTAGACTAGCTGAGGTTAATGACAACATTTAAATTTTCTTAGAAACAGCGATAGAATAGGGTGAAAAAATCTGAGTGGCTTATGTAAATAAATTGTTACAGATTACAGTTCGAAACATCTGTGTGCGTGGTAGTACATATTTGGCGCCCTAAAATTAGCGCGAATTACGAAAACAGATTAAGCATCAAATGAACGAATGTTGACATTAAGACTTGGGAGAGAAAATAGGTTATAACATTAGACGTCTAACTAAATAACCACGGATAAACTAAGAAAATAAGACGGCTTGTTCATATACATATAGTTGAATGAGTCTGACGAGTTATTAGGACAGGAAGAAATTTGACTTACATTAAGAAATATCACACCTAACAGGTATCACGCGTACAGTTGAACTCATAGACATAGGAAGAGGTGACTAGACTAGATACTTAACCTTTCAGGTTCATCTTCACAGTTGGGAATACTGAAAACACGAATTGAAACTAAGTGGTACAGATCGTTCTCTAAATCCTTTACTTGATAATTGCTACTTCACTGGGTACTTCATCTATGAACGGTAATTGCATATAGACTCACTTCTTCCTCCCAGATGTAGTATGAGTCTTAGTAATCTTCACAGCCTCATCCCTTCCCATAAGAAATGTTCATAGGCAGTTCTTTGCAGTGATCAACTTCTTCTTAGCTCACTTTCAAGCTGATGGCATCTTTTAATTCTTTCATCACGCTTTCACTGGATGGTTGTCACATGCGTTGAATAAATTTACCATGACACTGCGTACTACTGATTAATTGAAATGAGTAGTCAAATATATCTCACATCAATTAGTAGAGCTTGCTAGCCAGATAATAATAATAATAATGGCTTTATTCCAAACAGTATTTGTGGTACAGGTATGGAATTTTCAGCGTTCATTACAATATTGCATCTATTTACCTCATAAATTTTATAAGGATTTAGAAATATAAAGCAACAACAACAAAAAGAAAAAGAGAAATAAAAGAAATAAAATAAAAAAGAACAGCATTGCATTCACATATTTAAACAGTGCACCACAGGATACGATATATAAAATTAGACTGTAATAGAATATATGAGCAACAATATAATAGTAACAAAGAAAGGAGAACAAAAGCTAATGGGAACTATTTGTTAGAGTGCTGCAGTAAATTGATCATGTCATGCCTAACAGTTTTCTCATCACATAACAGCTGTGCCAAATAAGGTATTGTGGAGTTTTTATACTTGGTAGTCCTGGCATATAGCTTCCTATAGTTGCTTCTAGTTCTACCAGATGAAATGCAAGGAGAGAGCTGCGTATGGAGAGGGTGTTCGGGGTCTGACAATATAGAATTTGCTAGTTTCTTACATGACATTATATGTCTATCCACAATTGTGCTAACCAGTTGGTTTAACGAAATCCCACTTGCCCTACTAACAGCTTTTAGTGCCCTATGCAGCGAAGCAAAGTCTTTCTTAAGTAGTCCTGGAAAGATTAATGGGGAGCAGTAAAGAGGGATGGGTAGAATACAGGAATTGACAAACTGAGAAAGTAAAGACTGCTTTATACCAGACTGCCTAAACTTCCTTAGGTAGAACGTTAAGCGAAACATCTTTCTAGTCACTAGCAAGATGTGAGAGGACCAGGAAAGATCGGAGGAAATACTCAGTCCAAGGTACTTGACATCTGATGTAGTTTCAACCTCTATGCCGTCTATGATAGTGGGACCATGTGAGCTAGCTAGTTGCTGAAGGTCACTTTTTCGTCTGAAAGTAAAATTTACTACCTGACATTTAGACGGATTCAGCTTAAGACCGTTTGAAGAGGACCACTGACTAATTTCCGAGAGAAAGTTATTTAGTATGGAACAGTCTGACTGAGAGTTGACAGGCATGGAGACAGAGAGGTCATCAGCATACTTGACAAAAGTGGCTACATCAGAATGGGGCAAGTCATGTAAGAAAAAAGAAAACAGAAAAGGAGAAAGAAGGGCACCTTGAGGAACACCAGCTAAAGTAAGTGAGGTAGAGGAGGACTTTCCATTGTAGATAGTGTACTGCTTCCTATCAGAAAAGTAGGAATACAACCACTTATTTATCCAGCTCTCACTCTGTGTTGTAGCAAGCTTACTTAACAAGAGAGACCTAGGTACAGAGTCAAATGCAGATGTGTAATCAAGGAAGGCACACCGAACATATTTGGCTCCTCTATCTAAACTAGAGACTATATTATGATATAGAACTACAGCGGCATCTAGGGTACACCTACTATGTTTATAGGCAAACTGGTTGGGGTCGTTAAAAGGCTTTAAAGAGGGTTCAAGATTAAGTAAAATAAGTCTTTCCATAACTTTTAAAAAAGGTGAGGTAATAGCAATGGGTCTAAACTTGACAGTAGGTCCACTTGTTGATTTGGGTACTGGAACAACCTTGATATTTTTCCATGAGTCAGGAATAAAACTTTTGGAAAAAGATTCATTGAAAATGTCAGTTAATGGGTAACATAAGATGTCAGCACACTTCTTAAGGATAACAGCAGGAACTCCATCAGGAAGTATTTCAAACCCTAGGTGGCCATTTCGCTCTTCTGAAGCTGAACTCATTAGCTCAGAGGGTTGAATCAGTTCAAAATACCCGAATTCCAGCTAGCCACTGGGCGAACCGGTAGTAGTTGTCAATGGTATGCAACTAGCCATGTCAATCAATCAAAAGAATATTTCAACATGCAGTTATGCTTGCTTTCTCGATTGCCATCTATGGTATCTAGTAGACCACACATTGTCATCCAAAGAAAACTGTGAAATTTCACTAAATGTGTAAATTGCTAATTGTGAATTTGATCTAGAAATTCATTATGCCTAAAAAAGATATAATCAGCACCAACGTTTGGGGTTGGAGTGTTAATAATTGTATTTTTCATAAACTTCAGTTTACCTCCACTTAAAAATTCAATACTCTGGTGTGTGAAACACTTATCTGTATGCCCTGTCTGTTTATCTTTATGAATTTTTAAGTTCAGAAAAGTAGCAGAACATCAGAATAACCTGAAAATGTTTCTCACATCGTATTTCTATTCATTTTTAAAGTGTTTCTTAAAACATTTGCAAGGATACTTGAGGAGATTAGATGCTAACCATCAACTTATTTCTCTACTATAAAACCATTTTCAACTTATGCGATAATTATGGTCCCCGTAATTAGTAAGAATAACAGCTCACAGTCACTGCATTATGATATCAGTCAAACCAGATCAGCATATTAAATTTTACCAACATTAAGTTATCATAATGACAAATGAGACAGGAATACGATACCCTAACTGTTTGATCTATATCCATGAGTTATCCATAAACTTAAACAGGTAGAGTCTGATGACAGATGCTCGTCATCGATGACATCCGCCAGTCGTCACACTACATCGTCAATTGGTAGAAGTCAGAATTCATGGACAGGCCACTGGATCGGGTCCCAGTGGCTTAATGGTTTACGAGCTCGCCTTGTAACCGGAAGGTCCTGGGTACGAATCCCGGTAGGTTTGTGTTGCTGAAGAGTCCCAAACCAGGACGAAACAGCTGTTCAGTACTCCCAGGTTTTCCAATGGTCCTCTAACCGATCAAATCCAGTAACCAAACAAATCAGACCATGAAAACAAAACATGAAGTTCTGTCATCTCTTGAATAATATTTGCAACCATACAATTTAGCGAGTAGTCAATATACCTCAAACTGACAGTGTATCGCTCGTAAACATATTAAGTGAGTACCTGATCTAGCCTCCTTTTTATTGGGTACTAAATAAAGTCTACAGAAATTTAAAGTCTTGTAGGTAAGTTTATGAGTGCCGCCACACCACTTCCAATTACTCAGAATCACTTCAACCCTCTTTTTGTTTTATGCCCCATGTCTACAGATAATATTAATGTGACTTTGAAACTGTAAGCATATTTGGTTGCAATGGTGGCCAAATATAACGGATGTGTCACATGTGTACACCTTTTCAAAGAACGGCCTTCCAAAAAATCTTTGCTCCAGCCTACGGATATACGCACTCAAAAGTCATGCAAAAGAATTTTTCTTAACTTTACGCAAGTATTAATCCTATTTTGTAAAACTATCTTCTAAAATGCGTAAAGACATACTATATTAGTTGCCTGTGACAAAAACGCATTAATATTTATGAAACCACGTCACACGGTGATGCAATCTGGGAAATAAGTTATTCTCACCCAGCCAGACAAAATATACGAGCGTGCAAGTGATTACGCCACTGCGTAAGGTAACGAATTTAATGATCATGAAATTATTTATTGATACACAATTAGTCGATTGAAGAGAGAAAGAACGAACATGTTTGCAGGATAATATGAGCTCGTTTTATTTCGTGGATTCTCATCAACTGCATACATCCTAAACAAAATCAAATTATAGGTTTCAAGAAGGTTGTGGAACATACTTTTTCATAAATACTTTGAGTTATAGATAGAAGGCATAAGGAACATAATTCCAGAATTTGATGTAGGTAGACAGATTATTCGGTGTCAAAAAACAACTAAATATATATAGTGGAATTGGATAAGAGGGGTAAGAGTTCAGATTTCTATTGGAAAACAACACAGATTGGTTAGAGGCATATTACAGGGTCAGGGTCAGAGAACAAAGTAAATTTACACATCTTGTGGTGGAGAGTTTGAGAGGGTGGGGGTGAATAGTGAAGTAACATTTATAACTTAAACACACAAACAATTAAGTAGATTTAGAAACTTGAAGGTCAAAATTGAATAGAATGTTACGTAACAAGACAAACACACAGGCATACTGACAGAAAGGCAAAACTAAAATAAAATAGAGTTAGGGTTACCAAGGTAGTGAAAGATTAATCACACTATCTTTCTGTATACAGAGGTCTGGTCGAAATCTCTTGATAGCAATGGCTTCTGCGAAGCGAAGTAGCCGTGGGTTTCTTTGTGTATTGATTATTTTGAAGGCTTGGCTGATTTCTACTGTGTGTCCTGTGTCAATTAGATGTCTGGCGATTGCACTTGATAACACTTTTCTTCCTTTTGTGCGGAGGCTCTTAGGAATGTGCTCAGAACATCTATTAGATGCTGTCCTCTCAGTCCTTCCTATGTACTTGCTACCGCAGGTGCACGTGAATTGGTAAATGCAGTTGGAGTTGACGTGAGTAGGGAACTCATCTACTTTTGACTGGGTTAACGAGCACACAGTGTTGTGAAGTAGGATCAGTCTGGCGGCTGGGAACGTTCTTTTCAATGCACCTGTGATTCTTTTTTGTGTTCTTGTGGATACGTCTTCCCCTTTGTACGCTAGACAGATGAAAACTGGTTTCTTTTCAACGGTGTCGGGTTTCGGTTTGTGTACTTCTTCATTTCTATATTTTAATATGAACTTTCAAGGATATCCATTCTCGATAAGGTTCTTTTCGATGATCTCAAGTTCTTCTTCAATCTTGTCTTCTGAACATATTTCTTTGGCTCTGCTGAAGAGCGTTTTTACTAGACATCATTTGTAACTGGTTGGGCAAAAGCTATGATAATGTAGGTATTGACCAGTCCAAGTTTCTTTCCTGTAGACAGATTTTTGAATTGTCCCATCGGTTCTTCTTTTTATGTTGACATCTAGGAAATGGAACTGGTTGTTTCTTTCGTAGTCAATTGTGAATGCGATGTTGGGATGGGCCGCGTTGAGTCGAATTCAGAGAAAGTAATCGTAAGTCATTCTCAGAGTTATAGGCACCTACATATTATGAATGTAAATAATAGCAAAATCAATACTGAACTATCTCTAATTCATTATCTGTTTTTCTCACTGACTAAGTCGAAAGTCTCATGCTACACGATTGCAATATTATGAATATTATTAAGCGCCTTTCTGAGAATCTTCATACATTTATTCCCCTTAGTAAATTTGAATACGGCAAGAACAACAGTGTGTGCGTAATAAAGTGGTACCATCATTCATTTCTTTAGCTTCTCATCAACTGCTCACAACCCAAAGACATTATTAAATTCATGTACATAAACAATTTCAGCTAACTTACACAAAGACTCCATTTTTAAACAAAAATCAATATATGCATACAATGGTAATAACAACACTGACTTTATCCTAAACAATAAGAAACAAGCAGAATGGAATTCTTCGCGTTACGTAATGAAATGAAAGAGAGGATTAAAACATCCAGCTATCAGGCCAAGGAAAGACTGACAACTGCTTATTTCTGGCACATAAATCGGGTTTCAGGAGGTCTTTTCGAGAATCAAAAAGATATTGGAAAACAACGGTTACCCTCAGAGGTTCATTAACAATTGTGGATGATGTGAAGTATGCGGGGAAGAAGTGCTTTCAACAGTGCCATTGCTAGGCACCTGTTTGACACCGGTCACGAGGTGGACATTGCGAGATCGTTCGAGATTTTCAACGGTCAAATGAGTTCAATTCTCCTCAGGTTTGCCAAAGCTATCTCCACCAAGCAGCTGAAACCCTATTTATATGTCAGAAAGAAGCAGTTATCAGTCTTTCCTTGGTCTGATAGCTGGATGTTTTATTCCTCTCTTTCATTTCACTACGTAACGCGAGAAATTCCATTCTGTATGTTTATTATTGTTTAGGATAAAGTGAGTGTTGTTATAACCATTGTATGCATATATTGATTTTGTTTAGAGACTCTTTGTGTAAGTATGTTAAAATTGAGCTTAATAATGTGTTTAGGTTGTGAGCAGTTGATGAGAAGCTAAAGAAATGAATGGTGGTACCACTTTATTCCGCACACACTGTTTTTTTTTGCTGTATTCTAATTTCTGAGAATACTTTTGAGTTAAATAATAGTTTCTTATCAGCTAATTAAAACTGAAAATGAAATAGTGTTTCTGCTACTCATTCACTTGACCTGTACTAATTACTTGTAAACTGAGACTGATATTTTCTGTTCATGTTAACAGACTGTAAAATATTGATTGTGAATTTTTTTGTGATCTGATGATTATTTCAGTCTGGTCACTATAATGACCTGATAACTGATTCACATATATATACATATATAAACTAACCAAGGTTTCTATAAGCTTCGTTGGTCTTCTTGTAATGCGTGGAATAAAACGGTCAGATATACTGGTAGTTAGATGTTATATGGAGGATGAAATGAAAAGATATGCAGTTGAATTGCTTAAATCCGCAATGAATGAATTCGACGGTGAACGAGAAGTGGCATGCTTTATTAAGAATAAATTTGATTCTCGTTATCGTACCTACTGGCATTGTATTGTTGGCAAACATTTTGAATGGTAAGATTTTGAATTATAGAAGTTTCTAGAAATAATATAAATTTATAGTTCTATAGAATTCGAACCAACTCGGTTTATTTACTTAAAAGCAAAAGACTTGTCAGTTGTCCTCTACAGATACAGCTGAAAATACAAGTTTTATGAAAAACAAGTTGAGCGGATATCTGAAACAATTGTCTTTCATTTTCATCTTTTGACATACTTCACTTTAATGCACAATATGTACAAATTCTTTCCCAAAGATTATGAATAACTGGACAGTTTTCAAAGCCCTCACAACTATTCAAATAAGGATTTTCATTATTAACTGTAATTAACATTTCTATCATCAGGTTTAGAGATCTCACTTTTCATCTTTAAGCATATCATTCAGTTTTTTCAAATATATTTGCTTAACATTAATATACAGAAATAAGTTGTCCGTTCACATGAAATTTATTAAAATGTAGTATCATTCGTGGATATATTATGATAATTAGGCAGTGTTGTATATTCTAGGCCTATTTTCATTAAAACTGATCATCCATTACAAACTATGGCGAGGTTGTACTAAAATAACTACTCCGATTGACCTTACCACTGACTTTCAGCAAATAATCAGAATTGAATGATGACAAAAGTTATAAAACTGTTAAAAAGATACCTATAGATCGTTGTGTCCTGAGATAGATTCACATTTCTGATTCTATTCTTAAATGAGCCTCAAAAATCCAAATCTTCCTTAAAGACCAGTTATCTTGTCAGCCTCCCCTGGTATCTGTAGGTCTAAGTTCAACAAATCCATTATCGATCTTTCTGGAACCTGCTAAGCAAATCTAGAACAGAAGGCATAATTTTATTTGGTTATACAACCTATCAATTCAGTTGCTTGTCAACAATCTTATATCGCGGTGGCTGCTATTGTTTAACATCCCCTAAGTTTCAAATTTAATGCGTTGTACTATATATTTGCACGATGTATAAGGATTGAAATCGAAGCATTTACATAGCAGCTGTAGGAACAAAACTAGTAAAGCGGTTTGGCTGCTGTGTTTGCCAAACCCTTGCGAGCTTCAACTATTACCTGTTACAACAGTTCAGATCAGTCCACTTAATTAAACTTGAAAAGACTCTGAACCAACACCCATACCAAACTTTATTTTTTGTTATCCAACAAAGAAACAAAACGAACAGGGCAGTTATGCGATAAACGAAAACAGCATCGGGAAAGAAATAAGGGAATCACAAGGCTGTTAGAAAAGATTTAGACTGGCCACAGCTTATTTTTGTCCACTGACACCTGCTACGAGCTTTGGAAATCTCAATATTTTAATGTCAATTTATGTTCCTACGACTACGGAAGCTTCCATTAACACTATGACTACGACGTGTATGATAAGCCATCGAACTTCTTGGAATATCATTCTAGATACATTATAACCACTGAAGCGGACCGATAAGTATCCTTCCACATAATGATCCAAGAATGGAATTCAAGTACTATGACTGACACATTCACAGGGAACCCACGAAGTGTTGGTTCCGAGCGGATTCAAAGAAGAAAGCAAAGCGGACTCAGTAGAAGTTAAAATCTACATAGCAATTGTATTTTTATAATTCACTGTAATATACAGACGAATCATAATCTTACATTCAGAACATCAGTATCATTTCCAGGAAAGGATTACTAAGAGAATACTGAAGGAATAAGAGAAATCGACTAGATCAGTAAATGAACTGAGATTGCTTGTCAATTTGCAGATTTCAATGATACAGAACCTGAAAATGGATGATTTACCTAAAATAAACGAATCTGATGATATTTGAGAAGAAAATGAATACCTTTAACAGAATATTTCCTGGAAAGCTAAGGTGTAATGACAGACGTCTGTTAAAGTAGAAAGATAGCTCAAAATTTATAAGCATTATTACTCTGGCAGGATTGAAAATATGTCTCAAACATCTTAATAAATTGTTTTATTCTAAATATATATGCATCTAGAACGGGATATTCAGTTCATGTAATTTGGGCCCGTCGTAGAAACGCAGTAGAGCTAGTGAATTTGATTTCACTCGCTATTGGTTTTCTTTTGAGACCTGCCCTGCTATTGCTGTGAGCATGCTTAGCACTGTGTGGATTAGTTAGTCTAAATTTTGGATGGGTTTATAGTGACCTGTATATACACATTTAAATCTACGAGTAGTTCATCAGCTTTCTCGGTGTATTCCTACTTGTTCACGATTACAGTGGGTCCTCCTTCAGCAACCGGTAGTATGATGTCTTTCCTATTCTTCAGCTAATTGAGGGTCTTCAGTTCTGAGGAGTTGAGTCATCTGTTTTGTTTCTTCTGTTTGACTAATGGCACGATTGTTTGGCGGATCACTTCTTGTGTTTCTTCGTTGAATTTTGATGATCTGAGGGATGATTCAAGGGAAGCGAAGAAATCAGTTTCTGAGGCGTCTTCAGTGTTGAAGTTTGATCAATTTTGCAGTAGTTGTTGTTCGATGGTGAATGCTTAGTGATTTATTCACAAATTTTCATAATAAGTAATTTCATGATTTATTATCGGCTCATATTGACAATTCACTTTTCTAGGTACTATCACGACATTTTAGTACACTGTGTAACTGTACAGCTTCAAAGTGAAGTTAAGAAGAGAATATTTTTTGTAGCCTGTATCGTTTTGATCTATAATAATGTTAAGCCACTAAGATCAATTGAAGAAGTGATATACTACACATTTTAATTTCACACTCACCAAGAATATGACAAAATTTACTTGGGCATTTGGTTCTGAGCATGTGATACATTGACTCAATGGAACTAAAAAAAATATTCACTTTATTCTTATGAGACTGATCCATTACAGTCGTTTTATTCAAAAGTAAGCAGATGTCATATATAAAAGTTGGCAATAAATGAATCAAACAAGGTTGCATCATTTCGAAGTAGTTGTCATCTCTGAACAAAATGGTTTATTTGCAAAGCTTCCCAACTACGCAACATCTTCAGTGCCGACTTCACTGTTGCCTAGTAGCACAGTGAAAGCTTCTCAAATAAATCATCCAGTTCAGAGAACATGACTACATCGAAATCACCCACCTGAGGAAACAATTCTTCTCCATTTTATCTAAGGTTCCATCCCCTAAATCAGATCATAAGACAAAAGAGATATCTAATGCTGTCTCATTTTCACTGTACCTCTAACTGATGTCTATCTGTCATGAAATCTGCCTGAAGATATTCGCTTATCACAAATATGTCATACACAGTGGTTCCTGTCATCATTATCAATATTCACATCATTTCATGCATCACCTTTCAATGATTAAATGTTGCATTCTGTTGATTGTCGCTTGTTTTCATAGATACCAGTGTCGCTGTGTATTTCACCATCAATTTATATCATTCAATTTAGGAGTTATGCTGAGATTCTATGTTTTAAGCTGATCCTTTGAATCTTACTCATATACACTCTGAAAGATTATAAAAATCACCCTTAATTATTATTTCAGAAAAGCTTATAATTTACTTAATAATTTGTTAGTAGTTAGTACAAGGTTTGGAATTTATTTCTGCATATGCTGATTTGAAAGAAATGACTTAACGTAGTTGATTAACAAGACTATGCATTACTTAGTGGAATAGATGGTAAGAAACTTCTCAAGACCAGTCAAATTTGCTAGAATCTTTTACTGCACACCAATTCATTCTTATAAACTTTCATGTGTTTCAGTAAATTATAATTATAATTCAGTAGTGTATACACAATGGTACGTAATTTATTTGATCTGTTCCATAGTGCGAAAACATTTTACTGACAATAATTTCAAGTGTTGGTTTGTACGTAGATATATAAATAGTGTGGTTAACTATTCTGTGATTTAGAAGAAGGATACCAATTATCTGAATTGCGTATTTCATTCGTATAACACATATCTTACTTTCCGATGACACATTGAACTAATTGTGGAGATTTATATAAAAGAAGATTATAAGGGTTCAGAAATGAGAAAGTGAAATCAGATTGATGGAATGTAGTAGCAGAATTCAAGACACTCATTTCGTTGTGTTCTCCACTCATCAGTCTGATGCACTTGTATCTCCTTTAAGTGCTAGTTTTGTCACAAAAATCCTGCATACATCGTTTCAAACGCATAAGTACTTATCCACTGGACCACTGAAGTAGGCAAAGGCTAGTATCACACAGCATTATACCCGATAATTTGTGTATTCATCAGTCCACAAAATAATTGCAAATACATAGATGGAACTTCATGGCTCTCAAGAGTATAGGCTACAATGTACATATGAAATTTGGCTTCCAAAACGCAGTAAACAGGCAGTACAGATTTACAGTAAAAGGCACTTTGTTGAATGAGGGATAAAGTGACATATATTCCTTCTTCACATATCCTTTGAATTCAACTTTATACTACTAATCTTTAGTAAGCAGCATAAGTTTATATTCACATTTCTGAACCTTTGTGTTCTTCTTTTATATAAATCTCCACAATTAGTTCAATGTGTCATCGGAAAGTAAGAAATGTGTTATACGAACGAAATACACAATTCTGATAATTGGTATCCTTCTTCTAATTCACAGAATAGTTAACCACACTATTTATATATCTACGTGCAAACCAACACTTGAGATTATTGTCAGTAAAAAGTTTTCTCACTATGGAACAGATCAAATAAATTACGTACCATTTTGTGTACACTACTGAATTACAATTATAATTTACTGAAACACATGAAAGTTTATAGGAATGAATTGGTTTGCAGTAAAAGATTCTAGCAAACCGGAATGGTCTTGAGAAGTTTCTTACCAGCTATTCCACTAAGTGATGTATAGTTTCGTCAATCAACTACGTTAAATCATTTCCTTTAAATCATCATATACAGAAATAAATTCTAAACCTTTTACTAACTACTGACAAATTATCAAGTAATCTATAAGCTTTGCTGAAATAATAATAATTAAGTGTGATTTTTATAATCTTTCAGAGGGTATATGAGTAACATTGAAAGGATCAGCTTAAGACATAGAATTTCAACATAACTCTTGTACTGAATGGTATAAATTCATGGTGAAATACACAACGACACTGGTATCTATGAAAACATGCGACAATCGACAGGATGCAACCATTAATCATTGAAAGGTCATGTATGAAATGATGTGAATACTGATGATAATGACAGGAACCATTGTGTATGACATATTTGTGTTATGTGAATATCTTCAGGCAGATTTCATGACAGACAGATATCAGTTAGAGGTACAGTGAAAATGAGAGAGCATTGGATATCTGTTTTGTCTTATAATCTGAATAGAACGATGGAACCTCTGATTTAATGGACAAGAATTGAACCT